GGTGTAGTGTGAGCATTCAACATGCAATTTCATTTCCAGAGTATTCCATAACTCCTCACCTGTATAAGCAGCTTACAAGGTTAGATTTTTTAAAGAGGGTTAAATATTCAAGTGTAGTGGTGGGGAAGCAGCACCCATTTCCTCCAATTTCCTTGTGACCACAGCTTCTTGAGTTCAGTGGCTTTTTAAAAAATACAGCTTTTCTTACTCTGAATTTACCATAACCAAAAAGGCCACTGGGCAGCCACTGATGGTTCTAAGTCAGAGCAGAAAGAAGGAAACAATTATTTAGGGTCAGAAGAACGTTCAGTGGTTACCTGGGCCAACCTCACTTTGCAGACGAGAAGACGGAGGCCAGGAAGACACATCTCAGCAGAGTGAGGGGAATGAAATGCCATTTCCAGACCATAGGCCTGCACTCAGATGCTGATTCTGAAATACGAAAGAAACAGGCGGCCAAGTGCCTGTGGACTGAGAGAAACACAGGTGGGCAGAATGTGTCCTTGGACAAGATATTGGGACCCCAGTAGATCTCTTTGATCTCTTTCCTTATCTGTATGGTCGGCTGAATATTGCCTGCCCTGTCCACCAACAGTTTTGGTTGGGAGATCAGATGAGAAACGCCTATGAAGCTTCCCTAAATGTTGAATCACGTCATAATGATAATAAGCCTGGTTTATTGAACACTTAGCACATTCCAGGCATGTGCTAATCATCATTTCATTATCACAGCACATTAGGAGGCAAAAAAGACATGACCTTCATTGTAAGGGGAAGGTAAGACTTTGGTTAAGTGGTTCATCCGTGATCTTACAGATGTGAACCAGGCCTAGCTGACCCTCATAGTTGAGCATTTAATTATCAATAATACTATACCAATATTATCAATAATACTATATAACTAATCTATTAATAATACTATATCAATAATACTATATCTATACTATACCAGTAGTATCAATATAATAGTAATCTATATTAATAAAAAGGTAATATGCTAATTAGACTGGGTCAACTGGCCATCTTCCGGACGTCCAACTTCCTTCCGGACAAAGACATAGTGTTGGGGGCTGAGGCAGAAGCAGTTAGGGGCTAGATCAAGCTGGTAGGGGATTAGGGGCGATCAGGCCAGCAGGGGAGGGCAGTTGGGGGTGACCAGGCCTGCAGGGGAGGGCAGTTGGGGGAGACTAGGCTGGAAGGGAAGGGCCATTGGGGGTGACCAGGCCAGCAGGGGAGGGAAGTTGGGGGTATTAGGTAGGCAGGGAGGTGAGTGGTTAGGAGCCAGTGGTCCTGGATTGCAAGAGGGATGTCCGACTGCCGGTTTAGGCCCGATCCCTGTGGGACATCCCCTTAGGGGTCCCAGATTGGAGAGAGTGCAGGCTGGGCTGAGGGACACCCCCACCCGCCCCGTGCACAAATTTCATGCACTGGGCCTCTAGGAATACTATAATACAATACTATAATCCTATATAATAAAAGCCTAATATGCAAATCAACCAAATGGCAGACGACTGGTCGGCAGGAGGCAGGGCTGGTGAGCAGGCGGCGCCAAGCCAACCAAGGCAGGTGCCAGCAGGCAGAGGGAGGGGACGGCAATCGGGGGTCCACGGCGACCGGTGGTGGCGGGGCAATGGGGGGTGGGGCCATAGGTGCCCCCTGGTGGTCAGTGTGCTTCCACAGGGAGAGCGCCACTCAGCCATAAGCTGGGCTGACAGCTGACGAGCGCAGCAGCAGTGGCAGGAGCCTCTCCCACCTCCGCAGCAGCGCTAAGGATGTTCAACTGTGGCTTAGGTCTGCTCCCCGCCATCAGTTGGACATCCCCCGAGGGCTCCCAGACTGCAAGAGGTCACAGGCTGGGCTGAGGAACCCCCCTCCCCCCCGCTTCGAGTGCATGAATATTTGTGCACCAGGCCTCTAGTATTATATAATAATATAATACCATATAGTCTGTACTACTATAGCACACTAGTACTTATTATACAGGTACTATGTTACTATAGTATAGTAATATGTTGTATAATACATAGTACATGTTACAATCCACATAATAATATCCTATATAATAAAAGGCTAATATGCAAATCAACCAGTCACTATGACACGCACTGACCACCAGAGGGCAGACACTCAACACAAGAGCTGCCCCCTGGTGGTCAGTGCTGCTCAGCCAGAAGTCCAGAAGCCAGGCTCACAGCTGGCAAGTGCATCGGCAATGGCGGGGGGCCTCTCCTGCCTCTGCAGCAGTGCTAAGGGTGTCTGACTGATGGCAGTTGGACATCCCCCGAGGGCTCCTGGACTGCAAGAGGGCACAGGCCAGGCCCGCACCCCCTCTCCGAGTGCATGAATCTTGTGCACCAGGCTTCTAGTAATAATATAAGAATAGTATAGTAATTCCACCACAGGAGATGCCAGGGTCAGTGGTAATAATTGACATTGCGTAGATATATAGCCAAAGAGCACTATGTTATGACCAGAATTTCCTTTGAACAAACCCTGTTGTTTATTTAAAGAGATATTTATATTATATGAACTACATCATAACAACAAAACATGTTTAACATTTTCCTAATTTTTTTACAAGTACTTGAAACAAGGATTAGCCTTTAATCTTTTTCAAGGATGTAGTCACATTGATTTTTAACAAATTGTAGTCCCCCTGTCCTTTTAAAGAATGAATTAGTGAGAAAATAGTTTACCCCAAATAAGGTTTTATAATTTATTTTTTGTATCTAGTATGGGTTTTTCTAAAATATATTTCTTGCATGCTAATGTATAATTTTAAAAGATTAACTCTTAAAATATGAATTAAGTAAATTCAGCTTACAGACTCTATGGTAAACATGATTTGAAATTCAAATACTCCATTCATATTGGGCCTCATCTGCAACAGCAGTTCAACATCTGGACAATTCACTGAAATAAGCAATCTCACAGAATATGATCAGTCTGTTTCAGGTAGATATTCAGTTAACTGCCTTCCTATTTGTTTTCACTTTTTAACAAGTTGTGATATTTGAAGATAAATGTCTAGTCTTTTACTGAAGAAAACTTTGATTTTCTCAAGTGTATAGAGACGGGGTCAACTTTTACTGGCAAAAACTTTTGTCACTTTTGTTTTAATTATGAGTAGATAGAGAAGTCTTTGGTGAGCACTGGCAGTGAGTCCCTATTCGATCCATCCAAGTCCCCAGTGATAATGAGGACATCAGAAGCTTTAGTGATTGAAATATAATATTGTTTGTACTCACCTCACCATTAAAAAAATCACGTATAGTAGGTCAATATGACAAAGAAGGAAACCAGAAGATGGCGTTGAAGATTAGCAATCACAAGAGGTAGACTGGTAAGGTCTCAGAAAGTTTTATTCAGTGTCTGTTGTTTTGAACTTGTAAAAGTGGATGAGTGGAAAAGAGCTGAAACTAACTAAACCCGAGCAGAGTGCACATGCATGAAAGTGTGAAAGCTCTAGTTTACCGTTTTTGTTCTCAGCCATCTCCCTCTGTCTGTTGCTTGTGAGCACTTTGGGGGAAAAAAAAAACAGTTCACTGACTACAGTGTAAGGCAGCATGATGGCAGCCTTCTTCGCCTTGTTTACTGAAATATCCCAAGTTCCTGGAATAGTTCCTCACAAGTAGTAGGTGCTCAAAACATATTTGTTGAATGAATGAATCTGTGACAGGACAAGAAAGGAAGAACATGTTATGACCAGAATTTCCTTTGAGCAAACCCTGTTGTTTATTACAGAGACTCTGATCATGGAAAATTTACTTGGGTGAATAAAATATGTCATCCTGTTAATTTCTGAGAAAGTTCATCAGTGTTAGGAAAAGTGTACCTAATCTATGTCTGACTGCCTATTTTATTCTAGACTAGACTTAGTGTTTTCTTTGGGTAGGAGACATTGACCCATCATAGGAGATTAAAAGAAAAACTGAGAAGTAAGTGAAATCAAAAGCTTTCAAAAGTTGCCAGTTGACCTGGGGTGATGGTGGTCTAAAATCATATAGAAACTGGTGATCTGACGGTTTACCTGAAATTGTTAAGTAAATAAACATGCTCAGAGTATCAAAAATGCTGTGGTGAAAGTTTAGTGGACAGGTGTTCAGGCAATTAATTTCGATATTAAGAACATCTTGGAAAATTAAGTAAAACTATTCCTATTCTGGGCATTTATACTCCACTACTAAGTTGCTTTCTACCAGGTTGAGGTTAAAACTATGTCATTTTTCAAATTTATTTATTTATTTGAGAGAGAGATTTGTTGTTCCACCTATTTATGCATTCATTGTAGATTCTTGCATGTGCCAGGATGGGGGATGGAACCTGCAACCTTAGGGATGACACTCTAACCAACTGAGCAAAGACCTGAAGTCCAGAAGCAAATAAGCACTTGGATACTTCAGGATTCCTCTCTCAACTCTCATGCAGCCATAGTTAAAACTTTGGGGGCTATGCATTGTCTATCATTTCAAACATGCAGACTGTATTTGAACCACAGTTTATAGCTCAGGGGATCTGGGCCGGTTCCCTTTTTTCTTTTTAATGAGTACGCCTATCTCTAAACACCGCAGAGGGGCAGAGTTCTCAAATACAGCGGCAGGGTCAAGGATGCCCCCACCCACCCACAGTTCTTCATCGCGGACAATTCCTCCGTCTTTGGTTACTCTGCAAGTAAA